GCCATGGCAAAAGAAATATATATAATTCCAATAGCAAAGCTCCCTGCCAGTTGTTCATTTAATGGGGAAATGTGTGGAGGGGTACAGAATAGCAGGGAAAAAAAAATTGAGTGTGGTGTGGTATCACAGCATTTCTCCCAAACATGACTCGTTAGAACAGTTTTGACAGGAGGCATCAACATGGTTGTGGGCAGTTAAGTACATTGCTATAAATCTTTTATCCACGGACTGTGTAATAGAAAACAATATCCAAACTTAATACTGAGTTTAATGTCCTAAAGACTAGTCTGAAAAGACATGTTTCTAATTGCTGTGTGTGATCCCACAAAACTTTAGATCAAGTTCTGTAGAAACAGCTTTTATGGGAGAGTTCTCCTGTACAGAGTAGGCTATAGAGCAAGCACATTTACTTTCATGGCTTGAATCACCTAAATAGATTGCCGGCACCACTCCATTCTGTCCATCTGCCTCGTAGTCTATCAGAGTACCTCTGCAGACCATCAGTCTTAGAGACAACTCTGTACAGCCTAGAGGAAAGCACTACCGAAGGTGTAGACTTGGGATGAGGCTTTGTCCCTGGTATTTCTTTTAGATGCCCTCTGCTTCAGGTTTTGCTATGAAGTACATTCTGATACCTATGATTGTTTCCACAAGTTGCACAGGGATGGTTTAGTGCTTGACTCACTGCTGTGGATTCTACAGCAGGGGTCAGGAACTGAAATCCGTTTGCGTATTCAGCCTTCAATTGTTCGCCTTGGTTGCTTCTTATGTGGCAACACTGAGATAATATTAAGTATCAAAAAATTGAGGCCAAATGAGCTGTAAAGCAAGCAAGGCTTCTAGAAAAGGAAAGTATATATTTTATTACAATTTTTATTTTTATGATAGCAAACAAAGCAAAAGAAACTTCAGAAAATCTAAGCTTCTACAGTTGATATGAACTGATGTTCTCTCCTTCTGGTGGGCTATATGTTTCAAAGGGTGGAGAATTAGAATATGGCAACAAAATTGAACACCATTAGTGGTATTATACAAAGGAGCTCATATTTTGTACTGTGTTCAGTATTTGTTCTTGTGAACAGAAAAGTTCAAGATATTCATAGTAATTATCTGACACAAGAATTTTTTTCTTTAAAGCAGAGCCATAATAATTCTGTGTTAATATTTAAGCTCTTCAATCTGGATCAATTTAATAGCTAACACTGTATCTATTACAATGCTAGGTTTGCTGAATCTTAGTACAGACACAGTGACAGTAGCGCAGAGCTGTTTGGAGCTTCCTGTGAGATCTGCCCATGCATAACAAGAGGTCGAGAGGTGTAGAAAAGGGGGAAGAACAGATCAACAGCCTCTTCAGCCCCTCCATACTCAAGAATTCTGTGGCTTGCTCCTTACATTAGCATGTCCTTGATGCATTCTCAGTGTTAAGTGTTACCACTACCTTCCTAGCCACATACCTCCTGCCTGTTTTCCCAGCCTCCACTCACTCATTCACTGTGGTCCTCCTGCTGCTTCATCCCCTTGTTGCACCTGCACCAGCTCCTGCACTGCCTTCTTGCATCTGCTGCTGACCCCACTTGTTCCTTCCGTACTGCTACTGCTTACTCACATCACTGGGACGGGAAAAGTAGTTCAAGGAGTGGGCTGAGGGACACAAAGGTATGTGGGATAGGGAAGAGAAGGTAGTGGCAGGGAGTTCTACTTCAAAAAGATCTAGTATCTAGTTCCTGCCTCATTACATACTTGAAAGTTTGTAGTTAAGAAAGGTATCATACTTGAACTGTACTCTGGAGAATTGGGAGTCTGTCTCTACAGACCCTAGGAATTCTCATTAGTTGCCATGTCAGGTGAACACAGCTATTCCAAGATAGTCTCTAATTGTGTGCTTGGTACCCATACTGAAATGCTGTGCTTGAATATATGAAAGCCTGTGTGATGGGTGGTTTCTTTAAAACAGATTATAAGAACCTTCAGTTAGGCAGCTTAATTTAGTGGATACTTTAATCTTCTAACTGTAAAACAAAGATAATTTTGTGTTTTGGTATCTGTAAGTTTGAAAAAACTTAGTCTATTTTTTATAAGAGAAGTCAGTCTTCTGTAGTGGCACTTAAAGGAATTCTACAAAACTGTGCTTTGGAAAGGTCCATATTTTATTATAGTATTAGTACAGTGTCAAGATTCTGTTATATTTACTCAAAAAGGAGGATAAAAAACCTAGTTCAACATCATTCGCATAGGATTTTCAGAAAAAGATTTTGTTTTGACTGCAAGTGAAGTGAATTCATGATTGTGTATGGCAAGGAACCGCAAAGTTATGAATGCTGAAGGAAGTATTAATTACTTAGAGTCATTCCCTTTACAGCACTCCCTTGTATTTTCATATCAGTGGCATTATATTTCCTTCTTTTGTGTTTACTTTTACCGTTGACTTAGTCTCAAGTTTATTACTGTATTAACAAGGATTTTGTGTATGAAGCAGAAGATTTTTCTTCCTAGCCCCGCCAATGCTACATTATTATATTCTAATAGGCTGGCTTTTGTCTAAACTAATGCAGCAATCTGTGTTATTTCAGCAGAGTAATTCTAATGACTACTGTTTGAACATGGTTGTTGTGGGCAGCGTGCTTATATGAATTCAATAAGTCAATGGAAGCTTGATCCTGTTTCTTCTAAGTCAGCAGAAAAATAATATTAAACTAATAAAATAATACTAGGGAGCAGGACCAAGACAAAAAAGTTCAAATTTCATTCAGCTGCTGACATTGACTAGATGTTTTTTAATTAATTCCAGTTAGAGTTTAAGAATGTCGTTAAACTGTTCAAGGCTAAAACTGAGGTTTGGGAGATACGGGGTTTGGTTTCAAATCGGTCTTCATTTGTGTGTGCCAAGACAGTTTTCATCTGTGCCTCACTTTACCTCGAATTAAAATTGGACTATTGTACTTGACAGGGGAATGTTAAGTTTTATTCATTAGGGCTTTGAAATCTGTGATGGGTGAGTTTAGTGTCTGAAAACAAAGTATTGCTGTTCCATTTTAAAACACTGAAACTGATGCTTAAGTGATAAAAAAAATGCTGTGAAGCAACCCTCTATTTTCTCTCTGTTTAAGCAAAATATGGAGGAACCATGGCACACCTTGCCTGTGAGGTCACACAAAATGAAATGAATAATTGGCAGGCTAGAGGGTCAAGAACTGTATTTTTTTTTCTTCTCTGTTGCTTCCAGAAAGCTCTTTTTGGCTTTGTGGTTACTTTTTTAGATGCTATATTGTTGTTAGGCACTCCAGAGCTGCTGAATGATACTCCCTTCCTAATACTGCTCAATTTTAACTGGGGTTTTAGAGACAGTGATGTCAGTAACTGGCTGTTTCCTGGAGCGATTCAGGCTGATAGCAGAATATTAAACATCTTATTTACAAGCAGATGAGTACCTCTGTGCTTGGCAGAACTGGATGGGCTGATCTTTTTAACACTAAGGGTATTTGAGAAATTCAGAAACAATGTAGTAGGTTTTGCTTTAGGCTGGCTATGAATCCGAAATTCAACTAACAGTCCTAAAAAAATCATAAATGTGGACCAAGTTTTGAGGGTTGAGTTAGTTTCAAGCCCATTTTTCTCCTTTACTCCCTGAAAAAAAATCTTACTTTTTGGAAAGTACGAGATCTAATCTCTCCCTCCCTGCACTGGCCTAGGGCTCCAGTATCCTGAAAGAGACTTTTTCTCCAGTTTTCCAAGGTCTTCATAGGAACCAGTCCCCACTCTTGCAATGCCTGCCTGGATATAACTTTTATATGCATTTTTCATGCATGCCATACCAAACGGACGCTTACAGCTTATAGCTGTCCTGTCAGCCTGAACTAGACATCCACAACAGTTTTTCACTGACAGTGTTGTGATAGTAGGTCTGAACCTCCAGTGTGCTGCACTGCTTTGCACAGCTTTTCTCCTTGGTTGTGGTGCTCTGGAGGTCCGAAGTTCCTGGCTGGATGTGTAGTGTATGCCTGGTTCCAGAAGAGCAAATTTTGAGAGAGACATAAGTCCTTTCGGTTGTGTTGGCTTCTGCCCTCCATGAAAATGAAACTACTTGGGTAGCTACCAGATACATGTGAACAGCCTGGAAGAAGGTACAGAAAATAATCTGTCCCTGAAGACAGTAAACTCAGGAACGGCACTCACATTTCCTTACAGGAATTCTTGCAGTAAGTATGAGACCTGTTAGAATTAGAAGAGGTTTGTTTATACAGTGAGCGAGTTGCATAGAGACCCACTAATTACATTGGAAATTAGAGAATTTACTTAAACTCTTCCAGGTTTGGTTGGTTCGTTGGGTTTAGCTCTGAATTATAAAGTAACCTGGAGTGATTTGAAGTGCTTTTGACTGAAACTTGCAGGGTTAAAAAATAGACAGGTTTCTCTTGTTAAAAGTATTCAATAAGATGGCTTTTTAGCATTCTCTTTATTCATGCAGTAGCAGACATAACTCTTTACAGACTATGTGTATTTTAAGCTTACTTCAAGGAGATTCATAACCTCTTGTTTCTACACATACCTGAAAACTGTCTTTTATTTTCAAGGAGGTTTGTTTTTTTGGGGTTTGGTTTTTTTTTGTTTTGTTTTTTTTTTTGTAAAGCGGGGTACTGTTTCCTTGTTTGTAACCACATAGGAGTTAACATTTTATGGCTGACAGACATTCTTTTTCAAACGAGGTATATTCTCTCCTTATTCAGGAAGCTGGTGGGTTTTCTATGTACATGTGTTGGCCCCATTGTCTGTCTTCTTTTTACCTTCCTGCTTTTTTTTTTTTTTTTTTTTTTTAAAGATGTCACCACTCATCACAAAGTG